CTTTATGTCGCCTCCCGTTGTCGAGCGGCATTTTAAATAGTCCGGCTAATTTTATGCTTTCTTCTTGAGATATTTAAAAAATGCAAACTCCTTTATAACAATGGACGTTGTTAGTTTACACCGCCCGCTCATTAACCGGTGCAGTTTCTTTACTTGCTGGATTTTTTATAATTTGTTGTTTTATGCCTTTGATCTTGTTTAACTGGGATTTGTGCAGTAAAGTTAAATTGGAACTGAGAACTATGATATTCTTTGCTTACGTAAACAGGATTTATTTTGGTTTTCAGTTTTTGACGATTCAGATTGATGTGTTATAGAGAAAATTAATTTGAAGACTATGATATTTTAATATTTAATAAGCGTCTTTTTTTGGTCTAATAACACTCTATTATTACGACACTTTGTTCAATAAACACATGACATCCCCTTAATCTATCTCCTAAAATAGCAATCTCAACATCACACACACACACACACAACTTTTCTTAACATCTACTTTCTATTACCTACAGATAAAATATTTATATACGAACCATCCAATTCCCTAAGGCGAACTATAAGCCAATGTTCCCATTTGTTCACATTTCAAAGAATCCACATGCTTAATTGAGTCTTGCTCAAACAATTTAAGACACATTTTGTAGCACTTGAGCTCTCAAAGGGCTAAAGACAAACAAGGTAGAAATTATACCACCAAAGAAGTTTGAACAGTCTTATAGCGTAGAACTAAACTAACAACTCGTAACGTTTACGTAAAATATGAGTGCGATGGAGAATTACTAGGATTTAGGTAAAATGGAGGGTGCAAATTAAGAGGGCTACAATCGACAGGTATAAAACTAATGATGTAGATGTAAATAGAATCATGTTAATTGACATCCAATGTGGTGACAGCGGGGTATAATACATTATGCTAGGGAGGAGACGGAGCGCGTTTGGGAACAAACCTCCACCATCATGCTCCAGTCGTAGCGAGAGACACTCCGGGTATTGGGGATGGCGAGATGACATTCGGCCACCGTAAGCAAGGGCCTGCGGTCGGCGAGCACAGGTGACTCCCCGCCTGATCAGAACAAGACCCGAGCGTACGGCGCGTCGTGTCCCGCGCGCGACTCAATGAGCCATCAGACCAGAAAAGATGGGGCCCAATAGGGCTGATGCCGATTCGACACCTTACCCAGTCCTCCCGTGGCCCGTGGGTGGCTATGTAACAAACACTCTTTTGTAGAGAAGGTACATACATACATCAGCAGTCAGCCATCTCGAGCTGTTGATGATGATACCTTTTTTGACTTCAATCGAAGACAGGTTTGAAAATATATGTGTTCTGACAGAACCTAGTTTTATAATTATTAATTTTATAATTAAAGATAATATAGAGGTAATATTATAAAACTTCAAAATATTATAAATACGTCAATGTTATAAAGAATTTCACACTGATACTTATGAGAATTTTACAATGAAAATCATATAACTCAATATTTGTATGCAGTTGTTCCAGGAAATATATGAAAATTAATTTGTAAATGAAATACAATTTCAGTAAATCGACAGGTCAGGTCAGGATAAAAATAACAAAATCTGTTCTTGGAAACGTAGAAAACATTCAACAACAGAATATTTTTTTTTAAATCATCGTTTTTCGTTCACGAGGCTAAAAAAACAATAGCCTACCTCAGCCCCCAAGCTACAAACTATTTCCAGATACTTAAATCATTCCATAAAACGCTTCGTTACAACACGAAAGAAAGAGAATAATACACGTTCACTTTTACATTTTCATTAAGGATAAGGTTATCTATATCTTTCACCACCACATCAGCAAAAGTCCTATTGAGATTGGGAAAAGCCCCCTTCACATGGTGGAGAACCTTTTACCATAACATTTCACTTCACAAAAAACAACGCCTGAACAAGCTCTTCCAGTCTTCTAAATCAGTGTAATACAGAACAAGTTTGCATACTTAGCTTGCAGATTTCACGCTCAACCAGCACAACGACCGGTAACCGCCACACTTAGCCACTGCGCTGTCCTACAACTTGTAGGACAGACTTGCAGGTCCAACTTGTAGGTACAAGCTTGCAGTACTTGGTAATTAAGATGTGAGGTCCCAGTAATTAAATTGTTTTCCGTTTTAGCTTTTGCTTGCTCAACTTTGCGGTTCGTTAAATCTGATTTATATTATTTTCCGGGCTTGTTTTCGACCATTAAGTAATTAGTTATCATCATTCCTGGCTTTAATCCTTTCGTTGTTTGTTTCTTAAGTCGTTGTAGCGTAATTTTTACTTCCCTGTAATTGTAGATACTGGGATGTTAGCGCAGGTAACTATACCGCAGTTTTGTTTGGCATTATTTGTCAAAATTGAAATGGTTAGTGGATATTCTATTTAATAGGTTAGATGCCTAATTTTTATTTTGATGTCCGTCTGGTAGATTATTTTAAATCATTAGTCACACGTCTTTTTTATTTTCTTACAGAAATGAATACTTTCGACGATATTTTGATTTGAAATGTCGCGTGACGTCACTTCTATGTACATTTTATACGTAGAACTGACGTTTTAGCCTCTCCTGAACTTGGATTTGTTTTATCTAAGTATTGTTTTATTATACGACAAAATAGAAAAATACGTGTTTAATATTTTGTCATTACCTAACTTACGGACGAATAAGATTTTTTATTTTCATACACTGTCATCGTCCCAATTGTAAAGGTTTACGCGATGTAAGTACAAGAATGAATACATTCTTAAGAATACTACTGCTACTGATAATTTTTTGCTATCGAAACTTTACATCGCCATTTTAATTGAATTGATGAACTATAATCAACCAAAAAAATTCTTACTAAAAGAATGAAAACGGCCAAGCTAAGTGATATCATAATAATTTACAAAAAGACTTTTAGGTACCACAAGGAACGGTGCTCCATCAAAAATAATGATCGTAGTGATCACGTAAAAATCCATCAAAACATTTTTATTGGGTACCATCAATTTCGTTTTTACAACGTACGACGATGTCCTTTACAAATAGGAACGATTTATTATCATCTTTCGACACAATTGCTTCAAACTTGAGAGAAATGCCGGCCATTTGATTGAGACGACACCCGATGAATTCAACGTGGCATTTGACAAATTGAATCATTAAAATATGCTCTATTATGATCTTACGTTTCCTGATCCCGCTTCAAATTCAAGGGTTAAGAATTAATTGGACCAAGTGTTTGGAATTGAATTGTTGGAATTAAAGGTTACTTTGATCGTTGGAGATTAAATAACATTTTCGTTACCCGATAAAATCCTTTGAGGTAAATTTCGTAATCGAGTTTTTGAACGTAATTTATTTACAGATTAATTATTTTTTGTGGATTGATGTACATAAAGGTTTTTGATAAATGCTTGTATAACATAACATCACGCCTTTTATCCCCGAAGGCCCGAAGGAGTAGACAGAGGTGCACATTATGCCACTCTACAATGTAACGCCCACTTTTCACTATTTTATGTTATGAGTCCCATGGAATAGGGGGTGAGCCTATTATCATATATCACTACTGAGATTTTTTAAAAAACCCACTACCTCATTGGCCGAGTGGTCGCAAGTGCGACTGCCGGGCAAGGGGTCTCGGGTTCGATTCCCGGGTCGGGCAAAGTATTACTGGGGTTTTTTAAAAATCTCAGTAGTAGCACGGAGTCTGGAAATGTGCCCGGTATATGGCAATAGGCTCACCCCCTATTACATGGGACTCATAACATAAATAGTGAATAGTGGGTGTTACTTCTATGTGCACCTCTGCCTACCCCTTCGGGAATAAAAGGCGTGATGTTATGTTATGTTACCCACTACCCAGTTATGTTTTCCCGACCCGCGAATCGAACCCGAGACCCCTTGCACGATAGTTGCACTTGCTACCACTAGGCCAACGAGGCTAGTATATAAAATCATTAGTTATGTATAAACATAAAATAACTTAATTTACGTCGTCTTAGTATGTGTGCTTAAGAGGTGGACACTGAGTAGGACATAGCCTAACCTACTGATAATTCTGTTATGAATTCAAAATACTATTATGCAATACCATACACTGACCACAATCCTAGGCTGTGATCCTTTTAAAACAGTTTTAAAAACATCTACAGGAAAAGTCTTCGAAAAAATGAAATAGAATTTACAATTTTGTTGTACAAAATTTTGAATAACGCGATAAATTAGACTGGAGCTGATAAGGGACGGTTTCGCATTAGTATTGTAGACTATTTGTGACATCAAGATCGTTTTTATCGTGGGTATGACTGTGTTTGGCCTTGGAACAAGCGACCTTCCAATGGTCATATAATCACCATCTGTTTTGAATATGTCAGATAAATTGTATTCGTCTATGAATACCAAAATGTGACTACACTCAAATAATTTGTAGATTGGTGTAGTGGTAGATATTAGTTTAAACACATAATAGGCACTAAATTACTAGTATTACTAGCTAGTTGCTCCTCAATTAAAAAAAGTTTCTTCTAAGTCAAAGGAATAAGATTAGCACTAAGATTTTCTCTTATGCCGTGCATATCATACAAATTCAAATACATTTCGCAACCAAATGCGAAACAATAAGTTTTAAGTGTGGGAGAGCTATGCTTCGGCACGAATGGGCCGGCTCGACCGGAGTGATACCACGGCCTCATAGAAAACCGACGTGAAGCAACGCTTGCGTTGTGTTTCGTTGTGTGAGTGAGGTTATCGGAGTCCCAATTACCTTCCCCTTTCCCAATCTCCCCAATCCCTGAATCCCCAACGATCCTCAAACTCCTAATCCTCAAAAGGCCGGTAACGCACTTGTAACGCCTCTGGTGTGACCATGGGCGACGCCAATTGCTTACCATCAGGTGATTCGTCTGCTTGTTTACCGGCTTATGCCATAAAAAAAACAATTTGTGAATCATACAAAGCGTTGTGTCGTGCGGGTATCGAAGAGTAGTAGTGGGTTATTCAGAGATTAAAAACCAACATTAGTAATAACAGCTCCATCTGCTCCATCGCTCCTAGTGGCCATACCCTGAAAAATGAGCACAAATATTTGCTTATATCTTTCCCATTTTGCTGCCAACGCAAAAGTGACAAGCGACGGATTTCAAGAGAGATATTAAAAAAAGTACCGAAAAATTCCCTTGTCCGCGATTTTAGTGTAAACCTTTGTGATTGTAGGACAATAAGGTCAGCAAACAATACAAGCTCGTTAATCATAGAATATTTGACATCCCGTCAACTTTTACAAGAATATTAATGACATCTAATACGGCGGCCATGTTGATTTTTTCGCCCGTAAACGTCTTTCTTGTACCCCTTCACGTTTGCGGTTCTTTAAAGGTGTCGTGTATTGTTATTTTTGGCGTCCATGGTGTTGTGACGTAATACCTGAGTAATTGTTTAATTATAATTAATTTCCGTGTTCGTTTGTTTGTTTGTTTTAAGAGCAATGTTTTTGTGTCGTTTCTTTGTGGGTTAACCATAACAGTTCTTTGAATTGTTGGTAAAGTTGTAAATAATACACAACCACCTTTTGTAAATACGAACAAGGTCTCTATAATATAGCTATATGTTGGCCGAGTGGTCATAAGTGCGACTGCCTGGCAAGGAGTCTCGGGTTCGAATCTCGGGTCGCGCAATGAACGGTCGGGTTTTTAAAAAATTCTCAGTAGTAGTACGGAGTTTAGAAATGTGCCCGGTATATGGCAATAGGCTCACCCCCTATTACATGGGACCCATAACATAAATAGTGAAATGTGGGTGTTACATTGTACAACGGAATTAAGTGCCGTAATGTGCACCTCTGCCTACCTATAAGGCGTGATGTCATGCTATGTAACTATAAATAGCATTCAACATTTTCAACAATTAAGTATACACCTGCCTGTGCTTTTGGGACTTGAAGTCTTTACATTATGTTATGTATGTTTTATGACAAACTATACCATAATTATAATTCACACTTCCACTTTCAGTTTCCACGCAATCCCCTGTGACGTTGATGATTAACTTTTAAATTAAAAACATAGTAAACACGACATGCTGTGAGTTCACTAATTAATTTCACGCCATGCCTCTAGAGGGACCGGCAGAGATTAATAGTGTGTTGTAAAAAGTAATGATAGTGATCATTATTTTGATGGTTTTGTTACAAACTGTGTTCGTTATGGAAGTGTGTAGAGAATTGAATTACGAAAATAAATATAGCTCGTGGAATTTTATAGCGCTTTTCTTTTTTAACATTTTTAAGTTAAACAGTACCTACAACATTTGTTTTCGAATAAAAAAAAGAAAGAGAGAAAAGGAATTCCTCAAAGGGTAGGTAGAGGTGCACACATACAGCACAGCACCCATGTTTCACTATTTACGTTACATTATGTAAACACTTTGAAATCTAGGTACAAAAAATAACTGGTGAACCTGGCCAAAAGTAAAACTTCGGAAGCGCACGAACTCGTACAAACGCCCTTCATCCCCGAAGGAGTGGGCAGAGGTGCACATTACAGCACTTAATGCCACTGTATAATGTAACACCCACTTTTCACTATTTATGTTATGAGTCCCATGTAATAGTACATTATAATGGCAATACACAGTACATTATCAAAACATCACGCCATGTAATTTTCGAAGAGGTATTTCTCGTCGGGTGGCACCTGCGATGTGCATAGTGCCTACAAATTTACGTCTAGTGTGTGTATTTCCATTAAACATTTTTTAAACTAAAAAATATACATCTTTATGCTTTCTAAAAACAAAATATAAATACCGTTATATATCGGAAGTACTCTTTATGGCAAGTTATTTTGCCACGGGACGAAAACGAATAGATTTCACGTTGTATATGTGATGCGAAACTCCACGCCATTATAAGTACCTCCTTAGGCATAGGTACCTTACTAAACAATTGAAAATCCCGATCCAGGAAACGGAGGGAATCAGATTCCTTTGGTCAGAAGTCGTACTTGGAACCACTCGACAAACGAGACGGTCAAGGTAAGGATTAAGCCTCGAACACAGGCGCTAAGTCGCAGGCCTTTCGGTCTTCTATCGGATACATTTCGGTGAGTGTGCGTGGGAATTGCACAAACTTATTGCCCCTAGTCCATTTCACCACCGTACCACCAGACGAACGGCGGGGCGCCACCCTTATATGGTGGATATTCCACCCATTCGCACGAAGCGCTTCGCGTCAAGCTTCCTCATGCGAACCGCTAAGGAATGGAATTCCTTGCCAGAGGCTGTGTTTCCCGTTAAATATGACTTGGGTGTCTTCAAGTCCCGAGTGAACAGGTTGCTCATAGGTAGGCGTGCTCCATCGTCGGCCACATTATCGCTTACCATCAGACGAGATGGTGGGCAAACGTCGACCTATTAAGTAAAAAAAAGGATTTTCTTTTGTTTTCAAATAAATGTAATTTGTCATCAAAGCGTTGTTTTACATTGTTAGTTTGTGGCTTAATTCTGTTGTACGTGGGTGGTCTAAAAGTAGGGTAACGGCACCTATCTTGTCCTGTGGGAATCGTAAAACTTAAAAAGCATTACGCGTCAAAGGTAATCTAACTGAAGGACTTTTTAACTATTTTTTTTTGTTTGCCTGTTTATTTATTACATTAACTTGTACACGATTTTTTTTGTTTATTTATTACATTAATTTGTACCTGAATAAAGTAACATAACATAACATAACATCACGCCTTTTATGCCCGAAGGGGTAGGCAGAGGTACACATTATGCCACTGTACAATGTAACACCCACTTTTCACTATTTATGTTATGAGTCCCATGTAATAGGGGGTGAGCCTATTGCCATATACCGGGCACAATTCCAGACTCCGTGCTACTACTGAGAATTTAAAAAAAACCCAGTAATAATTTGCTCGACTCGGGAATCAAACCCGAGACCTCTTGCCCGGCAGTCGCACTTGCAACCACTTGGCCAACGAGGCAGTCTGAATAAAGTATTTGGTTTCATTTTTGCGGTCTAAGTGTTTTTTTCTTTTATCGTTTTACTTTTCTATATGGCTAACTACTGCCCGCCCGCATCTCCGTGGGATAAAAGTGTTATTCCCGACCATACTCTGTCCCTGTACCAAATTTTATCTCGATCCTTCAGCCATTTTGACGTAATTGAGCTAACACACAAACTCACAAACTTGCACATTTATAACATTAGTAAGATTTGTTAATTTAGTAGGTACGAAGAGATTCCAGGATCGAATTTTGAGTCCGGATATGTATCAAGCTTAAAATCAAAAATATTTAGCAATAAATCACTATAGGGTAGTTTTCTTAATTTTATTTTAATGTTGATTTATTTAAAAAATTACACACGTATTTTTTCTTTTTTCACAAAATTAAATACTTTCGGCGATATAACTATTTAAAATATCGTGTGACGTCACAGCGTGCCACATTTTGTAGCACGTTATGACGTAACGATCTCCCACTCCTAAACTTAGCCCCATTTTATATAAGTATTGCAACTTAATACGTGAAAATAAAAAAATACGTGTCTAATATTTTTTCATTATGTAACTGACGGACTAATTAGATTTTTAACTTTGATACCCTGGAAACTACCCAATTCTATTTAACGACTCAACAATACCGTATAGTAACAAGAATATTCTACGGTTCCCATTAATTCGCGAGGCCATCAATTATCGTTAAAATCAAAGTGCGTACCGTTACACAAGCAATCACGAGACAAGACGTTCACACTTGTGTTGATTAATTACGACATTAGTGGGATATCACACGCCACATATTCCTGCATTTACCCTCAAATGTCAATTTTGACGTACTAGCAATATAATAGTTTCGTCGAGAATAAGGACTGTCGTTTCAAAAGTAATAGTAATAGTTTCAAAAGTAATACTGACCAGATTGGCGATATATCAAAGAAGCGTCAAATTAAACTGTCAAACACCAAGCGGTCACCGGTGACCTCGACCTATTGTTCTTTAATTGTGTCTATAAAACCGGTACTCGACGAGTTAAAAGTACCCTTAACCGACGAGCATGCGTGAAAAGATTGATGACTGTTTATAAAACGAAAGAGATATGTATCTCTATATAGGAATCGTAGCAATTGGCGTTCCGTTGTCTCTGCCTACCCCCATGGTAGACAGGCGTAAAGTTATGTATGAATGTAGTATATCATCAATAGCCTATTCTCGTCCACTATTGGATATAGGCCATCGATCTAGTATATGGTTTGATTGAAATAAATGTTTTGATTTTGAATTTATTGGTCATAAGATGACAATAAACAAGTGTACAGTTCAATATTTGTTCAATAGAAAATTCTGTCCAATGGTTTGACATTAGATAATTTCTTCATCACCACTGTCCAGGCATAGTAGTGCTGGTTGTTATGTCAGCTGCAAATTACATCGTCTGTTTTGTACCTTATTTCTGCAATCATGCAATGGACCTTTGATTACAGTTTTGATTTAGTCGGTCTAGCGCACTAATCGCTAGCAATGTGCTTTTGTTTTTCAACCGTTACCTGTATTTGATACACTTACATTTTTACCTAGTTTTATATCGTTCAACACAGCTTTGTATCATATCCAGCCTCCTTACATTCTGAATATTCTGATATTACTAACATAATATATGTAGACGCACGTATGTACATCTTTTACATTTGTATTAAACTAAAAAACGGTATCAACAACGAATTTTATTGTGACTTACATTATTCGTATAATCTATTTCGGAATCTTGCTTATAAATAAACCAAAATAAGCAAAAACAATCAAAAACATAAACACACTATTCAATACATTTGCAAAAATTACATAATCTTCATTAGAAGATTTTAAATCAACGGTGAAATCATCTGATTCCCATTTAGGAAACACTAAATATTTAGAATACTTGTTATCACACACTAAATTATTAGTTATCTTGATATAATTATGTGGCTTTGAACTTACACTGCAAAGTTTGGTCAGAAAGAAAGTCAATAGAATGGTTATAATAGTCAAAATAATAGAATCGCGGTAGTACAACAGTATAGTAGGAGTAAAGGCGTTACCTTTAGGCATATCAATGTCTAACTGTATCAGTAAATAATAATGTCCAAACAAAGTGAAGCAGCCAACTGCTAGCCTTACATTGCGTCTCACGTCTAAAAACAGCGTCACAATATTTAGCACAGTCAACACTAAAGCAGGGTATATGAAAATCGCAGACAAACCAGCCGCTTCCCTCACCAGGACCAAAGTCACTGTCACTCCTGGCCTGCCACTCGCATTATTCTCTTGTTTTATTTCAGAAACGTGCCATCCAGCTGTATATTCGTCAGATATGCCTGCTCTAAGGTTTACTGTCATATACTCATGACTAAATTCCAAACTGCATTCTTGAACATCGTAAGGCCAGTTAGTGAGTTTGACGCCACACCATGTTTCATGCAACATTCTGTGTCGACATGTAACGACCCCCGTGTTATAGATTTTGCAAGAATAAAAAGTCGACATTTCAAAGTTGAAGAAATCTTCCACATTGTTTAGTTCAAATTTTGGAATCCAAGATGAATATGAGCCTATTTCAGTTTCCTTGATACCGTGGTATTTGTCTGGATCCCACTTTAGTCGTTCATCTCTCCAAGTAATATTTAAAGTGGTTTGAGCAGTGAATACTTCTTTATCGGCTTCGAAACTGATTCTTCCCACATCCATAAAGACATAAACTGTATTGTTTCCTGGCGGAGGCTTTTTTGAACTGGGACACACATCTTTTAATAGTTCCTTTAGCCACGTGACATACTCTGGTTCTTTATTATTATTGGCACAGTCTTTGGCCAGACTAAATTTCAAAAGATACATTAGTAATAAAATATAAGTGAACTTCGTCATGGTTTCTACAATACTGCATTCAATATCAGTTGTTATGTCATATTATACGGAAACGCCCACTGAGATAAGTGTTGCAAATGTATTTTTAAATCTATATAGGTGCTAGGTTTTGGCATACTATCGATTGTTTTAAATAAATACGTACATACATATAAGAGCTATGTTAAATGCCAATGTTTTACAATATTGCTGTCCAAATATTATAATGGACATATTTTGGCCTAAAACCCTATATCATTTTAAAAATCACCTCCTTACAAACCTCGACAATTATCTTTCATGTTAACAATGAGGTATCATCAAAAAAGTCCCAAACTCAACCCTAATTAAGCTGAAGGGCTGGACGTACCGCAAAAAGTAGGCCCAAATGAACCGCATAGGGTTGACAAAACGGGACTTAAATTACTGTCTCTGAGGTGAGGCGCGTGTCACTGTATAATATGTTAGCTGCGACCTTTTTTAATTTAAAAAGTTCATTAGGCTGATCAATTTATGGATTTAATTCTGATGGATGTGACATGTTGCAGTTGCAGTTACTAGGTGTAGTGTCGTTAGTGGTTTGTAGGTATTATTTTTTCCTTTTCATTAGTTGCAAAACGAAAATACTTCTTTTGGGAAATATCCATTGTTCCTTTGTTCCTTTGTTCTATTCTCTGATAACATTCTGGCGGTTATTCGACAATTCATCGTAGTTGAAACTAAAGACAGATTTTGACGTGAAACATGTAAGCAATCAAACGAGTATATCTGTTACAGAGTCCCAAAAGTAAATTGATTTTGTCGTGGTCATTTCCAGTGTCCATCGACATCCGTGTGTAAAACCACCATCAATTTCCATGGAACCATGACGGGTACACCTCGGGCTGATTTCTGTTGGTCGCAAAATTTTCGTTAACGTCTGTTTTACGACCCATGTCATTGAAACTCTCATTATTATTAAAGAAGTGTTGAGTTTTCCAAAATTTATATTCCCCGACCTATTTATAAGTTAATATGGAATTATGGTTTCGTCCCCTACGGACTTGGTTGTATTTTCAAATTGTTGATATCGTAATTTGTTACTTATTCTTTAGGGTACAAGTTTCTATTTCATGTAATAGAGGCGCTAACGTGGTTGATATGATAACGTGGGTCATCCATATGCTAAATTTGTTTGTTTTAAAGCTTGATTTCAAAGAATTAGAAGTCCCCTTTGAGAAAGTAGATCATTTTATTTTGATACGAGCAAATTTGGAAGCAAAAACTTTTACTTTCTTTTTATTTAATAGTTTAGTTGTAGTTAATTTTAAGTTGTAAATATTTATGTAGTTATATAAATTATGATATTTAAATAAAAGTAAACAGATAAAGCAAAAACTGATTAAAACAAAAACGTTACCTATAATTTTTTTATGGGATTAGCCGGTAAACGAGCCGGAGGATCGCTCGATGGTAAGTAATCGGCGACGTCCATGGACACCTGGAACACCAGAGGCGTTACAAGTGCGTTACCGGCATCCGGTAACCTCACTTAGACGACGAAACACAACACAACGTTGTTTCACGTCGGTCTTCTGTGAGGTCGTGTTATCACTCCGGTCGAGCCGGCCCATTCATGCCGAAGCATGGCTCTCCCGCACTTGAATATTCTTGGGAATATAGTACGTAAATGTATAAATAAGTACAATTGTATGGAACAGCACAACTTCTGGTATAAGATACCGTCACCCAGTTAGTGTGTGAGGAACGGAAGAATGGACACGTATTTGGACCATGAACGGACAGATATCTACAATGCACCTGTCTTGTGTATTGACTTGAGTTTATCAGAGTAGAAGCACAATATGAATGTTGAAACCCAAATTGTATGTGTGACTGTGGGTGTACAATGGTACATACATTTTAATAGGCATGGCGACTACTTTTTAATTTTTTGTCCGTCTTTTAGATATTTTAAAAATCTTCGATACGTATTTTTTCTTTTTTCTCGTATCCAAAAAAACATGTAGATATTTTGAGTTAAAATGACGCGTGACGTCACAATAAGGTACGATTTCTCCGTAAGTGTGACGTCAACACCCCCCACTCCCTAACTTTAATGCGGAATAACTACGTATTCTTCTGTTAATTTGATAAAACAAAAAATACGTGTCTGATATTTTCGTGCGATCTTAATGACGGACTAATTACTTTTTTGATTTTTTTACCCTGTCGACACGCCTATTATTGGATCCATGATAATCTTATAATGTATAAAGATGATACAGCTTTTCATCATCATCAACGGCCTATAAATACCCACTGCGAAGGTTTGAGCATTAATCACCAAGCTTGCTCAATGCGGGTAGGCGAATAAAAACTTATAATTAGAAATTAGAAGTCCAGGTTTCCTCACAATGTTTTCCTTCATCGTTTGTCAGTGGTGTTTAGATAACCTTAGAAAGTACATATGACTCGGAAAAAGTCACATCGGTACTCGCCGTTGGTAGGTTTCGAACTCGAACCCTCATTCATGAGAAGCGGTTGTCTTAAACCTCCGGGTCACTACGACCATTGTTCTCATTAAAATAATGAAAAGATCAAAGTTATAACCTTGAGTCCAGCAGATGCACTTGTATTACGCAAGTCTAACGAGGCGAGAATTCGAGATAATTGATTATTGTATCAAATTTTTTTCATTCATAACATTACGCCTTTTATCCCCGAAGCGGTAGGCAGAGGTGTACATTATGCCCCTGTATAATGTAACACCCACTTTTACGTTTATGTTATGAGTCCCATGTAATAGCCTATTGCCATATACCGGGCACAATTCTAAACTCCGTGCTACTACTGAGAATTTATAAAAACTCAGTAGTACTTTACCCCTTGCTCGGCAGTCGTACTTGCGACCACTCGGCCAACGACAACTATCTAATTTATTCAGCAGATATGCGTAGTCGGAACATGTCACTCGGTCTACTCACACTATTTAGGAGACCCAACTATCTTCGAGTTCCTGAAACAAGTAATCAAACAATTTACTTTAGGGCAGTGCGTAATAAAACTTTGGTACAGTCCCGAGCCACTACTATGTTATTCCATTAAAAGTTTCACGTAAAAATGCGTAATTTACGTGGCTTTGTTTACGTGTTTAACAGTAGAGTGTTAACGATTTTATAAATTTTTAGGCTACCAATGTCAGGCGTACAGGTGTCTAGGGACTAAAAGTGGTGTAGTTGCTTTTTGTTGGAGGTCAAAACGATAATAGGGCTATAGCAAGGCGTAAAGCCTACTGTGCTCACAAAATGTTTATATTTTCTCTTGTTGAACTGTTTTGGGATGGACGAAACTTTTATCATTATTCTGATGCTTGTTAGACGTTGTTAAGATAGAGTTGTAGTTATAACATCTCTGTGTGTTGCCACTTGTATAGATCGGCTGGGTAATTGTGCCCTGCATACAGTGACACCCTGCGACGTATACCAGATCATCTGTCTATTTTATGCGTAGTCGCTCTTAATGGAATTTGGAGTAAGCCCATGTTTAGCGTTAAACGTCATAAGACTGATATTACTATGGCGTTGGGTTAATTCCACCACAAAAAATAAGTGTATCATAAAAACATGCTATTGAGAAACAACTCCAACTAATTGACTGCACGGTTGGCGCGGTAGCTGGGTAACTGGCTGCGCGCAGCGTGTCGCGGGTTCAATCCCACACGGAACAACTCTTTGTGTTATCCACAGATTGTTGTTTCGGGTCTGGGTGTCATGTGTATTTTTTTTTATGGGACAAGCCTTCCACAACGTCCCAAAACCATGTCATGTGTATGTGAACTTGTATGTTTGTAAACGCACCTACGATACAGAAGAAGATCCTAGTGTGGGGCAACGTTAAAAAAATGTTTAAAATTCTCCCGTTACAGTTGAACCACGAAAACTCAATGACTTTTTAAATAGTTTCCAACTGGACACGACAAAATATAACTAAAACAAAACTAGCCGAGTTAGCAACTAATATCAGTAGCAAAACGAATCTTATACTCCACAGCACACAATTTTAACGAAACAACGTTGAAACAAACTGACAGCCACATTTCCACGCTACGTTAGTTCCGACAGTTAGGAATACGATCTTTGCCGTTGAGTAAAGAGTCAATGGAGGGAAATAGAAGATTTTTCGTGTATTACAAAGCATTTATAGGATAAAAAAATATTGTCAATTATTTTGTTCTGTGTCTATTTTTGATACATTTAGCGCATTCGTTTGTCGACCTACTAGGCTAATTTGTATTTTCGCGGAGAACCTAACGGTCGCGGTGAACCTAACGGGTTACCGGCTCAAAGTGCAGGAGAAGGAACGCGATGGTTTTTAGTCAGTAAAACTGACACTCCCTTCCGCCTCACCCAGGCGGGAGAAGTCATTCGATGATTTTCCCCCCTAAAAAAATGCTAATTTGTAACTTTCAATTCGAAAGATTGAAGTGTGCTCGCGGTCCGCCATAATATCATTGGTTGAGGGAATAATCTGGACCAATTACGGACGAGAATGCGATTGAACTGACTTTGAAAATTCGAATCGACAGTCAAAGTCAAAGCATTTATTTTTTAATCCTTAATTAGGTAATTTTGAAACGTCAAAATTTGTATTGTTCATCCGTCTGTTTGTCAGTGAAATGTCTGACAGTTATAGAATAGCTTAGCAGCTGCTGCAGCATTGTTTGAATTAAAAAAATGTTATTTCACATCTTACTATTTTACTTCTTTTGATTCCACCCACTATAATAATTTCTGCATCACCTAAAAGCTTATTAAATATCTTCTTCATTAACTTCACCTTAGCTTAATTTAAAGTAAAAAATA